TTTCTCTGCATCAGATGAATTAAACTGAATAAACCTGCAGTATTTAATCATAAACATCAGATATGGAGGACCAAAGAGCACCTGATTGTTCAACATATCTGAAAAACGTGCAGCGGAGAAAAAAGAGAAAATCAGCTGCAGGTTTTGACCAAGAATTAAGTCGAATTCCTCCTCATAATTCGCTCTACATTTAATCTTAAATGAGACAAAATAGTTTGAGACATGAAAAGTGTTTTTCTGTTTCTGTTTTAACGTTTTTATTCTGTGATTATTCCTGAACTTTCTCGTTGTTCCCTCTGATTGAACGGTTTGCATCTTTAATCTCTCGTCTTAAATCCTAATCCAGTTCCTCCAACATAAACCCCACATCTCTGATTATTTCAATGAGCGGTCTCCTCATTCATCCCCTGTTTTTGTTATTCGGCCATCATTATTAGTGCTCGCTGATTTATTTCTCCTCATGAACATCACTGCATTTTTGTCCCGGTTGTTGATTTTGACTCACAAATAATCCGAACTGGCCGGGACTCGACTGTCGTAAAGTTTGAGTTCATGTTGGAGTGATTTAATGATCCTCAGATGTTTGTAGCACATAAACTCAACAGAAAGTCTTTTACTGCTGAAGATCTGATGGAGTTATAGATCTCTCTCTTTTCAGGTTCACGTCATAAAAACCTGAATATTCAGACGATTTCAAACCAAGCAGATAAACTAAAGTGGATCATCTTCTGCGTCTCAGAGATGTTTGGACGTTTCCATTCGCCACAGACAAACTGCAGCAGTCGGAGCGAACAGGCCGCTTTCACATGGAGTCTGAACAAAGCCGAGGGGCCCTGCAGCAGCAGCAGCGACGACGGCGGCCGAAGACTGAGAGTCTGAGACACGGGGAGGCCTTTTTTTTTCTCTCCCCCTTTTTTTTTCTTGCCCTAGCTGGCACCAGAGCGGACTTGTAGGCAGGAAAAGAGAATCTGGAGGGAAAACTAATGATGAAAAAGTCTACTCTATCCCTGCGCCTTCATTAAATACATGGAAAGAACCAGAGAGCCACATCTGGATTCAATCCGCGTCCCTTTGATGGCATCAAGTGTTCTTTTCCCAGATCAGGGGGCTGGAAGCTACGGGATGTCTATGGCAGCTCGGAGCCCGGAGTCCACTGCTGCCATCTGAACACATGAACCCCCCCCCCCCAGTCTGAAAAAATGAAGAGAAAAAACCCTCCCCCACATCACCTCAAACATCCAACTCCTCCAATCCAACACGAGATGAAACACTGAGGTGGAAAGTCACTCAGTAAAAGTTTGAGAGAGTTTGTTTTTTTCCTGATCTGACCGAGTCTGAGCAGGTTCGTCTGCAGACTGAGATCAAAACACCGAGATCTGGAGGATCATGATTGTTGTAAAACTCAGAGGAACTCTCAGTTTGACTCAAACCTGAAATAAACCTCGACTCTTTCCTTCCTGGTTTTGACCAAACTTCTAAAAACTGTTTTCTCTCCGTCCTTCTTCTCGTCCTCATGTGGCAGAGTAAAATTCCCCTAAAGTCTCCAGTTTGGTTTCGGGGACTTCCCAGACAGTCCGGACTCTCCTCGAGCTCTGATTGGCCGACCTGCATATCAGACACCTGCGGGCATCAACGTGTGAAGATCAGTGATTGGTGTGAAGTGTGACGGTCTGAACTGAGTGTCGAAGAGGATTAGATGAACGTGTGGATGAAGTGAGAGAAGGAGATCTCTGCAAAAGACTGTTGGTGTAAAAGAACTTCAGGTCTTCACTTCAGGAGCTCTGTCTGAACGTTGGTGATAATACTCGCTAAATTAAGTCGAATATTTTTACATCGTGTTTTAAAAATTGAAGGATTTAAACTTTTTCATCAGGCTGCAGAACGAACAAATCCTTCAGTCTTTTCTAAAACCTCTTTTGTAACATCGAGGCTCAGATTTCATGAAGATTCAGAACAATAACTCTCACTTTTGAACCAACGCTCATTAGATCATTTTAGCGCCACAGCCTCTCTCATCACGCTCACTCTGTCCTTCTGCTTTTCAGACATTCTCCTCCTCCTGCTCCTCTCCCTGCTCTCCTCTCTCTCTCCTTTTGTTGGTCCACCATCTTTAAAGCTTTAAACCTCTTATTATAAATGTGTCATCAGTAACAGACTCTCTCTCTCTCTCTCTCTCTCTCTCTCTCTCTCTGTGAAGGAGCAGAAACCCAAACCGGATCAGAGGATCCCCCTAAAGGTTTGTCTGAACTCACCTCTAAGTCTGTTTTCAGTAAATCCAGATCCTCTAAAGTCCAGATGAGTTTCCAGTCCATCTCTTGTCTGATTAACGTCACAGGTCTTATTTACACCATATCTGATTAGTTCGTCCACTTTACACTGACCCCAAATTTACACCGTGTCCGGAACAGCACCAATTTTCGCCGTCCGCCAATTTCTACCAGATCCTTTCACTTGTTTGTCTCCGTCCGTTAGCATGGTGTGAAATACGATCCTCCTGAAACACGGAGTGTTTTATTTTGAAAAGGAGCCGGATGTTTTATTTTGTGTCTGTGCCCGACTTCCTTTCCAGCACGGGTTAATCTGAGTCTGGCAATCTGCAGAGGAACGGAAAGAAGTCGATGTAAATTGACACGTTAACTTGAATGGTTACGATCAGCTACGATCGGAGGATACGACCTTTTAGGAGACGATCAGGATGAAGGTGGAAGTTGGGGGTTAGTCTGTTTCCAGTAAATCCGGATCTTTTAACGTGGTTGGAAAAATGAGTCTAGATTATTCCAGTCTGTCTCTTGTCTGATTAACGTCACAGGTCTTTTTTACACCATATCTGATCAGTTCGTCTCAAACACCGTGACCACTCTACAGTGAGGGTATTCAAATTTGTCCTCCTCTAATCTTCTGATCCAACACTAGCATTAGCATGGTTAGCAAGATAAATCTGTGAAATCAGAGGACCTGACCCTCCAGAGTTGAAAAATGAAAACTGCAGTTCCTCAAGTGTCCACTTGAGGCAGGCTGCATAAGCGCCAGAGAGCCCGTAAGCACCCATGTTAAAACGCCTTATGTGTTAGCCTGTGAAGTATTCTGAAGTAAAAGTACGGCGCATTTTCTGACACTCGAGAAAACCGAATTATCGTCTTATTTCCGATAAAAACCGGACAACTGAAGGTCACGTAAACACCTTAGTCCGACTATAATCAGAGTTTGAGAACTCTGATTAAGACACCCAGATAATGAGATTGGAGTTCGATTTTCTCTACCATGTAACCAGCGTATTCGGAGTATGATCGGACAATACATGTGCGAGGGTGCTACGCCCCCATAACCCCGTAACAAACCCCCAGAGTAGAGGAGTAGCGTTGGTCTCCTCTTTAGAAAAAGTAGCGCGTCCATCATGTCGGACAAAAACAACGCTGTACGATGCTCCATCTTCTTGTTTCTCCAAAATGCCCAGCAGCAGTTGTAGACACTTCTGACGTCTGACACCGACCTGCTGTTGTTGTTGATGGTTGGATGGGGTCGGAAACAGCGCCGCTGAAAAGACCCATATCGCCCCCTAGTGTTGGGGAGGAGGACACGTTCACGTCAATAATTCGATTTTCTCAGCTGCATGTTTACGAGGACGAGGAGAGAAGTCTGATTCAGAGAAAAAAAAAAATTGAGCTTAGTCCGATTAAACTGTGGATGTAAACACACTGAGTTTTTATGAGAGCCTTAAAATGACACATCTTTTAACGCGCTGCTGTGACACCGCTAGTTCCATCCATGTTCCGACCCTCTCCGATGGTCAGGAGTTCTGGGTTGTGACCGAAAGAATGAGAACTATTAAAAAACATTTGTCTGCAATTTGTCAATTCTTTGCTGCTTTCTCCTCGTTTGACGCAAACTAAGCGCATAATTAGCTTAATAAACTGTAATTTTAGTTTGTTTTTAAAGTAAAAACTCCCCCTGCTGGTCATTGTGGAGAATGCAGGCAAAGTTTCTGAACTTTAGTTAAACTTTAAGGAGTCTCTGCGATTTATTCCCGTTTATTTATATTTAAGTTTTTATTTGTAAGATGATTTTTAAGTTTAAATAACCGATTTATATTCTACTTTCTCTGTCACTTCAGCTCCTGTGGATTCAGAGTTTGGGCTGATTTATTTGGTGGCACACCGCAGGACACTCAGAGTGGGTTTATCAACACACAAGCAGCGATAACGACACACACACACACACACACACACACACACACACACTCATTAGGCTGTGAGGTCTGCCAGCCAAAGCTACAAAAACAGGCCAAACCCGGGTGTTGATGGTGCTGATGGGGATGTTTCTGAGAGGGAGAAGTGAGGGGGGAGAGAGAGAGAGAGGGGGGAGAGAGAGGGGAGTCACTCACAACACGGAGAAAGCATTGCCACGTAATTAGAGAGAGAGAGAGAGAGAGAGACATAGAGGGTGTGTTTGGTGGAGGTGCGGCTGTTTCGTCCTGCCTCCTCGCTCCTAGCTGCCGCTGATCCAGCTTTGCGCACACACGGAGCTTTGCGCATCTGGTCGTCATCATCATCCTCCTCATCCTCAGCAGCAGCAGCAGCAGCAGCAGCTCTTCCTGCTCAGATGTGACTCAGACAGGGAGGGAAGAGAGCTTCCCCTTCTTCTCCTTCTCCTCAGAGGACTTCTTCTCTTTCTCTCTTTCGCTCCGGCAGCAGGACGAGCTGAATTCTCTGATTTTTGTTCTGTGGTTTTTGTCCTCGCTGGATGGATTGTCTTTCGGAGGTTTGATCTGGAAAAATCAGGAGGAGAAACTTCTGCTGAAGTTCGTCGGAGCCCTCCGCGGCTGATCTGGATGTGAATAGACCCGCCTTCTGCTCGGTAGACCCGGGGCTCCTGGAGGCGCTGCTGCTGCAGTTGTGCGTCCTGCATGCACGGAGGAAGTTCTCGCCTCATTTTCTTGTTTTCTTCTTCTTCTCCTTTTTCTCGCCGCTCCGTTTTTTTCCCCGCTGCTCCTCTCTTGAGTCATGACTTCTAGTTATGCACATGTAATGGACAGGCAAGCCTCGATATCGAACCGCCTGGAGAGTCCGATCACGTCGAACCTGGACAACCTGCAAGCCAAAAAGAACTTCTCGGTCAGCCACCTGTTGGATCTGGAAGAGGCCGGGGAAATGGTGGGCAGCCAGGCGGACGAGAGCGTCGGGGAGGCGGGGAGGAGTATACTGGAGTCCCCGGGGCTGACCAGCGGGAGCGACACCACCCAACAGGAGAGTAAGTGAACCGCAGAGAAAGCGTGAGGATTCCTGGAGCTGAGAGGAAGAATTTAACCGTAACTTAAAAAGAAGAAGAATATCCAAACTCCCTCCCCTCCTTCACCTCCTTTTCTCCCCCCTCCTCCTCCTCCTCTTCTTCTTCCTCCTCGCTGTGCGCAGATGTGAGAATCTCACGCTATCAGGCTCAATCTCTGGAAAATCTCACCCAAACCTCGTCCTAATGACAGGCTGAGAGTCATTTGTTTTCATTAGGTTCTGGCGCGCGTCTCTGCGTCCTGAGCGCATGAATGGAGCGGCGCGGCGGCGGCGGCGCATGGAAGGAATCCTTTAGTGAGTTTTGGCAATGCATCATCCCTGACGGCCTCCCCCCCTCAAAACGGCCATTAATTTACCATTAACACTTTGATGTCAGTGAGGTATGGTGATGTTGGTGGACATGGTCAATGAGGGAACCTGACGAGACAAACTCCGGGGTCGTAAATCTCTCTTGGCTGAGGCCACGTTCACTGTCCGGCGGGTTTTTGATCTTTTTATTGGAGGGGGGAGAAAAAACGTGATTTATTTTTATTTAAGAGAGAGTCGAGACACGTGTGCTGAAGTTTGGTCAACAACGTTTGGACTCAAAAAATCTAAAGCCTGTTTTTTTCCTCCTCCGAGCGTTCGCGAGAAAGCGGCCGAGTTTGGTGAACCAAGAGGCGGGTACAGATCTCCGAGCGTCCCGGGGTTTGGATCTCCAAACTCTCGACCTCGATCCCTCAAACTCGGACAAACTCGTCGCTCCGTTGAGAGAGTAAATAAACTCTCCTTCCTCCTCTTTCTCCTCCTCCTTCCTCCTCTTCTTCTTTAATGAGTGTTTTTGTTATTTTTTTTAAAAATCGCTCTGAGTGAAATTCTGCAGGAGGAAGTGGCTCGGGTCAGGTCGTTAATTCTCGGTTATTTTCGTGTCTGTCAAACACTTTCACAAAAACGGAGCGCGGTCGTTTGTCACAATTAGCGCGCGCGTTTCCGCCGCAACAATTAACGGGAAAAAAACCCGGAGAAAAACAAACGGAGCTCATCAGGGCAGGAGCGAGAGAGACGCTGATTGGTCCAGATTAAACGGTCAGATTCAGGGGAAAATACTCCTGTATGAAATTAAAAAATATTTTAGATTCACACAGAAATAATCAAGTTTTGACGCCCTAAAGACACAGTTTGTTTTTCCAGGATTTTCCTGATAACGTGAACGCAACAGCTGATTTTGGACTTTTTTTTTTATTAACCCAAAAAGTACCCGGTAATTTTCCCAAACAAAACATGGAGGTGGAAAAACAATTTAAAGACATTTTGTTAAAAAAAAAAATCAAAAAATAATTCCTGCTCTGAGTGAGTTGAACCAAACTCCAAACTCTGATTTAAAAAATCTGTAAATGAGATCTGAGGATTTTCTGTCAGCAGCAGGAGGAAGAGGAGGGTGATGAAGGTGATGATGAAGGTTCAGATAAAGTGTTTTAAAAAAATCAGATTTAGACCCTCCTAAACTTCATTCAGGCTGTTGTTTTTAGATTTATCCGGATAAAGAGTCATCTCAAACAAACTACCATCACTATTAAAAAAAATAGTGTAAGTGTCAAACTGACTGTTTCTGACTAAATCATGAAAATAAAACATGAATTAGATAAATGTGCTGAACTCAGGGAAGTCATGAGAAAATCTGATTTTTGTTTTAAGCACTTTAATAAATCTAAATCTAGATTGAAAGTGACTGTTTTTTATGGATGAATTTGGCATTTTGGACAAATTATTAAATAAACCTTCACAAACCAAAGAAGAGAGAAACTGAGAAGATTTAAGAGCAAAAAGGAATTTTTTTTTAAAATAAAAAATACTGAATTATTGTTGGAGAAAATAAAGAGGAGATTTGACAGAAATACAAAAGCCCTTTTTTAAAATTTTTATTCGACAAACACAGCGTATTAAAAACAGTTTATTCCTCAGTGAAATAAAGGTTTAATTTTTAAGAAAGTGTTAAAAAGATTTTAAAGAAGTTTGCAGCAGCAGCCCTGAGCCAGTCTGTGGATTTACTTTGACTGTTCACAAAAATGAGGATTTAAACAAAGAGAGTTAAAAAAAAACCTAATGTAATAAAAGTCAGATTTGGAAAAATGTTTTTTTAATACATGTTAAAATTAAAATTACATTTTTGTAATAGTACAGTGTAAAAAGAGAAATCTGAAAACGTTCCTGTTCCTGTTTTTGGACTAAAATCAGGTCTTTATCGGACCAACCTGAACCTTCTGTAACAGCAGAGCTCAGTCCTCATCTCTCTGTACTTCACTATTTTATTATTTCAGATAAACTTTTTTTTGTTCTCCTAGCAAAAACAATAAAAATAAAAACATTAATAAAGAGTTTTGACCGTTTAACGAACAAACATCTGAATTTAATCGATCATAACCGATGATCGATTCTGTCCGCTGAACTGTCTCCATAAGAGTCTCACTGAACCGGATCTTAGTCTGGATCTCCGGACTCTTTCCGGTTCCTCAAACGCACCATCAAACGGTCGCTCGCGCTAATGAAGTGCGTCATGATTATGATTTCAGTCTCGTGCCTGTCAATCAGCTGTTTTTACAGAGGGGGGGAGTATGCGGGGTTTCTGGTCGGCCACGTGCGGGAGCTTCACGCGTTTCCATCCGAGCCTCAGAGAGTCTGAGTCGGCCTCTGCGGGACTCTGGAGTCCGTTTGACCGGATTAAACCCGAACCGAGAGACGGTTAACCGAGAAACTCCGAGAGGAGACGAAGAGGAGAGGAGGAGTGATAATGTTTTTACCGTGAGTTTTCAGGAGTACCTGAACGCACCATGTTTGATAACCTCCTTTAGAGGAGAAGTTCAGACACACACAGGTGTGAGGAAGAGGAGAGAAATGGAGTTTATGTCTCTATTTTAGTCCAAACCGGTTAAACTGACGGACTCTAAACTTTAAACTCAATACAGGAGAAGAAGAAAATGTTCTTCAATTAAAAAGTTTTAAAGTTTTTTCCTCAAAGAATCACAGAAAAAAATTAAACTTTAAAGATTTAAATCAGGAACAAACTGATTAAATTATAAAATAATAAATATATTTTTTTATTTTATATTTTAAGAAAAAGGACCAGGACCAGGAAAAGGACTCTCAGATTAAATGTTCCTCTATTTAAAAAAAGGCGTGTTACCTTTTCTTAAAAACAGAGAAAAAACAACACCCCCAAAAAAATCATGAAGATTGCCCAACAAACTCACCGTCAGACTGAGTTTATCCTGTAGTGTGAAAATGATTTAGGGTCTAAAACTGGTGGGTTAAAACATGAAATTATGTTACTGAGGAACAGAAAGAGAAGACTAAATAATCTGAAATTGAGGGTTCAGAGAAAATCCTAATCTGTCAGTGAAGAATAAAAACTGAGCGCTGGTCCTTTAAAAACATTTCTGATGTTAAAATCCTTCAGGGGAAATATATCATATATATATTTATGTTTTTATGTTTTTACTGTAAAGAGCAGAGGAAGAACATGTTCAACATTTAAAGTCTGTTTTTAAAAAAGTTCCTGCTTCAAATCTGAGAAAAGATTTAAAAAAAAAAAAGAAGAGAGATTAATCCAGTTTTAATCTGAGATTGACAGATGAAGAGATTAACTCTGAGTTTACTCTCAGCTGGCGTCTGATTGGATGAAACTGCAGGGGGTGTGGTCTAATTAGATAACAAGGTGACAAAACAAACATACTGAGTGTTGACACTGATGAGTGAGTGTGTGTGTGTGTGTGTGTGTGTGTGTGTTAAGCTGCAGTTCAAACACATTAAGTGAAAAAAAACTCAAAAACTGAGATGATTGAGATTTTCTCAGATCTTCAAGTAAAAACTTCAGAGGAAACGTGTTTTTTTATAAGATCTGATTTCTTTGTAATGCTCCTTTAAAGACTCTGACATCTGAGCGAAAATATTCATGAGGATAAAAACGGAGAAACAAAAACCGCAGAAGTCTCATCTGAACTCTAAAACAACGTTTAAACCCAACATCACAAAAACCTAAACTACACCAGACCAGAACCAGGACCAGGAGGAGGGACAGAGTTGAGATCAGAGACAGGGAGGTGAAAATCAGAGGAGAGAGAGAAACACGGAAATAAAACAGATTAGAGACGGAGGTAAAAATATAATATTTTACAAGGGGATAAAAATTCAAGTTTTTACTGAAGTTAAAAAAATCCTCTGAGGTCGTGATTAATTTAAATAAAGAGAATAAAATCAGACGAGTATCTGATGAATTTTGGTCCTTTAAAACTTTTTTACAGCCTCGTTTATTTTTGATTATTGCAGAAATAAAAAATTCATCCAGACTGAGTTTGTTTACAGAGAAAACCTGTCCGAGTGTTTTTGGTTTATGAGAAAAAGAAGAAAAAGTTTAATATTTAATCTGTGAAAATTTTCTTTAAATCTGCAGATTATTGAATCGTCCGTCTAAACGAGTCTGATCACGTTTATGAAACAACAGCAGATCTGATCAATAATCAGGTTTAATCACATTTATCTGATAGAATAATAACCTGCAGAGTTTCTACGTTTCTCACATTTATCGTTAATTTACAACTTTATGAAAATTAAACCAAAATAACTCTTCATAACTTCATGATGATCAAATATTTAGACGTCTTTCCTGAGAGTCGCTGAAATAAAAAATAAAAAATCCAGTTTTGATTTTTACATTTTTTAAGTTTTGACCTGATAGAAAAAGTTTGTTAACGTTTGGTTCAAAGTTTGTTAAATTCATTATTTTCCATGAAAGTCAAACATGTCAGAAAACAGCGTTAGTGTGTGTGTGAGAGAGAGAGAGAGAGAGAGAGTGTGTGTGTTTGTGTGTGTGTGTGTGTGAGAGAAAGTGTTATTTAGTGGTCTTGTTGTGGTCCCACAAACACAGACTCTGATTCTTAGTTTGAGGATTTTCACGGAGCAGGAAGGTGAAGCTGATCGTAAATCCTCAGACACAGTTAGAGAGACTCTTCGTTTGTTTGTTTGTTTGTTTGTTTGTTTGTTTGTTTGTCTCTCTCTCGTCTCCGTCCTCACAGTCGTCTGATATTTCCGTCTCTGAGCTGATGAGTTCAAACACATTTATTTATTTCTTCGTTTTTAACCATCAAAACTGGGATTAAATAATCTGACAGTTTTAACATCTGAACAGAGATGATGTTGAATCTTTTCTCTGATGGTTTCTGTCCAAACATCGACTCTCGTCTTTATAGAAATTCAGATATAGACTTAGATCCACCTCACCAACACACCTGCTGCTGCTCCACAAACCCTCCTCTGAAACCTCTGAAACGCTTTCAACTGATCCGTTCAGACTGGCGTTTAATCCAGATTACTGAGTCCACTTCGGTCTGTCATGTTTTTTTTTCTCCTCTGTGCTGCTCAGAGAGACTCGGGTTTGGTTTTTATTTTTACCTCTTTTATTTCTGTCGCTGTGAAGGACTTTGAGGATTTTATCCAAACAAAGAAACGAATGACTCTTTTTTTTATTCTCTGTTCAGATTCAGATCATCAACCTGAAACCGACTTCAGCACCAACAGGGACAAAAAGGAGAACAGAGAGTCCAAAGTGAAATCTAGAGATCAGGGTCGTGTATAGTGAGCGGGTGTTCACAGGGATCAGATCTGATCTGGATCACCACCTGGAGATAAAAACTCCTTTAATAAAAGACTCACTTAAAGACGATGTCTGCAGCTCAGACGACTGTTGGACGTTAAAAATACATAAAATAATAAAAACGGAAAACTCTGAAAAAGAACAAACTTCTTTTAGAAACTTCGTCTGTTTTCTTCACTTTGGTAGATGTCCTTCATCACAGATCTAAAGTTTGAAGAGTCTAAAATCAGGATTTCCTCTGAATGTCAGCGAACGTTTTTACCACAGAGTCAACAGGCAGAGTGAAAATCTACTGTAGGTTGATCTGATTTGATTGACGAGAGGTTTTGACCAATCAGAATCAAGTATTTGACAAAGTTAGATAATCAGCAGATGACAAACAGATTCAGTCTGTAACTCCACTCTGGTGACTCTTCATGATCCAAACTTTGACGCGGATCTTTATCGGACCGTCTGTAACCCTGATCGTCGACCTCAGCTCTCGTAAAGGTGAACGGTTTCTTCTTCTTCTTCTCGGTCTCCCTGCAGATGAACAGATGAACACGGAGGAGAAGAAGAAGAGGAAGCAGCGCAGGAACAGGACCACCTTCAACAGCAGCCAGCTGCAGGCTCTGGAGCGAGTCTTCGAGAGGACGCACTACCCCGACGCCTTCGTCAGGGAGGACCTGGCCCGCCGTGTCAACCTCACCGAGGCCAGAGTCCAGGTATGAGCAGCCACACATCCTCCTCCCCCTTTCAAAATAAAAGCCCTGATTTATCAGACAGGTTCTTCATTCGATGGAGGAAAACTCACCATAAAAGTCACCAGACTGCAAACTATTCGCAGAAATAAAGCAGAGGGGCGTTTTTAACGGAGGGTCACAGAAATAAACCGTATTTCATCAACTCAGACACAATCGAGCGGTTCTTCAGAGGTTTTAGAAACCCCGCAGGACTCATTAAAGAGTTCAGTTTCAACGTAGAGCCTATTTTTATCGTATTTGGGTTATAAAAGACTGTTTGAGTTGGCCGAAAACAAACCTGGAGAGGAAACAACAGGCTCAGGTCGTTTTTTTTTTAAAATGTCCGACAACATCGAAGAAAAAAAGAAAGAAAGACAGAAAGAAATCCACCTTTTTTTTTAAACTTCAGAGCTAAAAACAGATGTTAGAGCTCCTCTCAGAGACACCAGACTTCTTTCACTAAAATATCAACTTTAACATTAAAGTTTCTTATGAAAAATGAATTTGACCTTCTATTCGGAGTTCTTGTTTTTAACTGAGCTTTTGTTTTTATCTGTTTTTATTTCCATGTGCTGATGTTCTGTGCTGTACAACTGTTTGTCAAAGTACTTTATTAACTTCTGTTTTTAAAATTGATATAAAAATAAAGTTATAGATATTTACTAAAACGTCAACTTTAACTAAAACATCCGTTTTTATTTATCTGCACAGGAGCGGCTTCTTTAGTCGTTTGTGTTTTTGTGTTTTTCACTGAGATGGAGATTTACCTGCAGATGATTTTGTTGATGGAGTTTCGGTTTCTCCTGGTTTTTGGTTGTTGCTTGTCGCCTGGGTGGATGTGATGATGCTGTATGGCGGTCCAGATGGTGGAGATGAGGCTGCTCCGCCTCTCTAAGGCGAGGTGTGATGTCCAGTGATGTCCTAGCTATCTCAGGCTTTGGCATCAGTCGAGGCCGTGATGAGATGAGTTTCTGGTGCTGGTCTCTGGTTTTCCTAAAAGTTCGTGGTTGTGTGTCGTCTGTCCAGTCTGGTGTCTTTGGGAAGTCTTCGCATCCTCTCAGCTGCAGCCTGAGTTTGTAACGTCACCTGAAGGAGAAAACTGTACATGCATGTGGGGTCTGATGGGAAAGTGCACGCCCGCTCAGGTCAGAACAGGAACTTTAGGAGAGGTTCTGGTGCAGACTGAACATCTTATTTGCTGATTTAGTCAGTCTTTATGTTCAGGTAGAGAGGGTTTCAGACGGAAAGGTTCAACATCCTCTCAGCTGCGGGGGGATGCAGCGTCTGCTTGATTTGTAAATTAAATCTGCGTCTCACTCCCTAAAAGATCAGTCTGCACCTGTTACCGTCTGCTTACTGGCTGTTCTTCTGGTTCTTAAAACAAACTCTCCATACTGACTCAGAGGTGAACTCATTAACAGATTAATCTGTTTGTTTTTGCTGAAGCGGTAAACTCTCTCCTGGTTATCGGCTCTGATGAACCCCCACAAACCGCAGCGTGACTCCTCCCAGATAAGACCGTGTCAGAAGTGTCGAACAGCCTCTCCTAAATCACTGCAGAGGGTCTGAGAGTCTGTGAGCGGTTTGAGAGCTGCATGTGATCTCTGCTAAAGTGGATGTAATGACGTCTAATTTCCTCGGAGGTTTACAGATCAGTGATAAAGAGAAAATGTGTTCAGCACATGAGGGAGGGCTGCAGCCGAACGGGAGCTGAGGAATATGAAGCAGTAATTGTCCAAATGACGTGGAGATAAATAATGAAATCAGTCAGAGAAAACAGCTGATCTGTTTTAGACTGTTTTAGCTCCGTGACTCTGAAGACTGAGGAGCATTTTCACCTTCAAACAAGAACAACATCCTGGAAATGTCAGGTACATTCAGTATAACATATAAACCTCTGATATTTAACAAACTCAAAGACGACAGAGACTCAGGCCGGCAACTTTCTAACTGCCTCGTCTTAAAATCATAACTATTTAGAGCAAGTGAGCAAAGAAATGAAAAAAACAAACTAAAAAAGGAAGGATAATAACGGATAATTTACTGATATCAGCGAATAAACTCTTTAAACTTTGCAGAAATGATTGAAACGTCGATCCTCGTGTCTGAGAGTCACAGAAATATGATCCCAGTCTTCATTTTCAGGTTTATGGAGTTTATGGGGTGTTACTTTTTACACAGATTCATCCTCACAAATCCACCTCGAAGTTATATCCTCTGGGATTGGCTGTTAGAGCCCACTTAGCTTCCTGGTGGGCGTGTCTGTAACAGAGCATCGCCTTGATAGGACGGCAGGACCTGACATCATCATGTTAGGATCATGTCTCCGCCTCCCTCCATGTCCGGTCTGCACCGACCCCTACTTTTTAGTCTGGAGTTTAGGGCTGACATGGTACCTTTAAGGAGGGGCAGCAGGGACTCAGTCTGATCTGGATCAGCGGGTCTTTGATCTAAATCCTGTCAGGGTTTCAGTCTCTCTGAGATCTCCACGTTACTTTAACGGATCGTCTTCGTTCATGTTTGAGCGTCCTTCAGCCTGAGTGTGAGGAGCGAACAGGATTTACTCTTTTAGGATTTTAAAAATATAAAATAATAGAAGAAAAATACAGCGAACACTTTATTCTTGTTTAAATCGCGTTAACTTAAAATGAATCGAGTCCCGTTTTAGAGTTTCAGTCTTTAATTTTAGAGAAGAAACAAATGTTTTTCTTATTTTTGCATATTTCAGCTCACAGCTGAATAATAATCACCTTTTTTATTTTTTAATCATTGTTTTAGACGATAAGATGAGCATAATTTGCAGGTTTCCTTCATATCTCTCCTAAAGTTTGGTGATAAATCTGCGATTATCTGCTTCAGAAGGTCTTTGCAGGTGTTTCCAAATACAGACATGAAAATAATAACTGTTCAGAATCAGGGTTTGACCTTTTTTTTTGTTTGTTTTTGGTTAAAAAAGTAAAAGTTATGAAATCTTATTGTCCTGCTCGGGTGATGCACCTCCCTCCATCACAGCAGGAGAAATTCCTTCAGTGCTGGAGTCAGCAGGCTCCTCTCAGGCTGCGTTCGGTCATGCCAAACTCCACCATCAGGTTGTTACAGAGCAAAGCCTGGCAGACAAAACTCAGGGCAACGCCAATCTGCATTTTTGTCCTCTGGTTTTCTTCTTTGTGGATATTTCCGCCTCACAAACAACAAAACTGTAACTTTAAACCAGTTTTAAAAAGAACTGAAGTTGATGGAGTTCTCTCTCTCTGACTGCAGACATGAAGATAAACTCGTCTGAGTATTTACTGCAGATACAAATACATCTTTGAGGCCTTTTCTCCGTGTTTCTTCTGACTGTTTTCGCAGTGAGAGTGTTTGTTCTGTGGGCAGAGAGAGTGGGAAAGAGGAAATGGTGATGTTGGAGGGAGAGAGGCAGCACATCTGTGATTAATGTGGAGCAGAGCGCGATGCAGAAATCCTTTGATAAAAGAGACTTTGGGCTCATTCCTGAGGCTGTGCGTCAGCGCGCAGAGAGCCCCCTCCTGAGCGCCCACGGCGTCTAATAATGGATTTGATTTCACAGCGAGGAACAACGTTAGCACTCCCAGAGTCAAATCATCATCTGTTAGGAAAAGGGAGAGAGAGAGAGAGGGAGAGAGGAGTGTTTGTTCTCAGAGAGGAGGGGGAGATCTTCAACAGGAGATGAAGGATGTGTGTGAGCGGGTTTGAGTTCGGAGATTTATCAGGAAAAGTTTCTTATTTTTGTGGATTTTTAGTGACATTAGAGTCGGGAGGGAGAAGCAGACATGTTTCTCTGTGAAGAGAGAATGTGATCAGAAACCAGGACGGCTGAGGTCTCCTGAAAACAGCTGCTCAACAGATGCTCCCTCTGCATCATAAGGCGGGTTTACATCGACGGCTGCTGATTGTTGTGACGGAGAGTGAACTCAAGCCGGGAAATTATTCATTAGGTTCAACGAAAGCAGCTCTCCATTTACATGTTTACACTCAGGGGTGTAATCTGGGGGGGCAATCGAACCTCAGGTAAAAAATGTAAAGAGCAGAGGTCAGTGATATTTACACACACTCTGCTGATGTTGTATTTAAGCAGAACAGCCTCCCAGTGTAAAAAATGTAAACAAAGCACTCTTTTTTAGTGTATAATATATAAGACAAGAACCTTTTTTATTCTTCAGGTGTGTAGAATTTAAACAGAGCGCCCCCTGGTTGCTCTTTTTATTGTGAATAATATAAATCAAGTACTCTCCGTTTGCCTATTTGATAGATCACATGTAAACAAAGTGCCCTTTATTAAAGTAAAGCAGGCGATTGCTCTTTAAGTCCATGATATGTAAACAAAGTTCTCCCTGAATCCCTCCGCAGTAATTGAATGTAAACAAAACACCCTTTTTAGTGTATCAAATGTAAGGCAAGAACCTTTTTTATTCTTTGAGTGTATGAACTGTAAACAGAGCGCCCCCTGGTTGCTCTTTTTGAGTGCAGTGCTCTTGGCTCTCTTCTCTAGTGAATAGAATGTAAAGTAAGTCCCCTCAGTTTGCTCATTTAGTAGATCAAATGTAAACAAAGGGCCCTCTGGATTCTTTTCAGTGTTTAAAAAAATACAGCCAGTGCTTTTTAGTTTCCGTTTTGGTGTAAAAAATGTAAACAAAGTCTCCTATATCAAAGTAAAACAAGGGCCCCCAAATTGCTCTTTAGATCTTGGCTGTAATATGTAAACAGAGCGCCCTCAGGTTGCTCTTGTTAGTGTAAATGATGTAATGTGCGCACTTGTCTGTGGTCATTTCCCATTATAATGAATGGGAGGCGCAGTTTCTACCAAAACACTCGCTGCAGACAAACTTCATGTCCTATTTGAAAAAAGTCTGGACCATGAGTGAGGGCACAAACACAGCTATGATATATCGAAATGCCAGGTTGCTCCTCCTTACGGTGTTGCCTGGAGAGCGATGCGATTGAGCCATTGAGCGATGGGCAGGGTTAACTTGACTTTTTCTCCTGCCTTGGGGGGGGATGTGGATTCCTTTAAGAATGTGGATTTTTGGGTCATCTTTGGCGCCCCCTAGAACGTAAACCGTGGGGTGCAGCGTCATGATTTTTACAACTTTGAATGGCCATGGGGTGTAGATTGGCCTGAGTAAATTTGGTGTCAGTGGGACGAAAGCCTTAGGAGGAGTTAGCCACATTCCAATGTGTGCGAATCGGCAAAAAATGCAAAATAGCCCTTTAACCGTACATTTGACAGATACGCGCGCATTGACTTTTTTGTAGATCTTATTGAGATACATATGTGTGTCAATTTTTGTGTCAATATGATAAAGCGTACAGGCGTGACAGTCAATAGTGTGAATTTCCACCTTAGGGGACAAGAAAAAAATGACTTTTTTCTCCTGCCATGGGGGGGCGCTCTTTTGGGGAGTAAAAATTCCTTCACAAATGTGTTGATGGCTGGACATTGCATCATCCTAGAAAGCTTGGAGGCCAATGAGGACAAAAATAAAAAGTTATAAGACTTTTAAATATGTGGATTTTAGTGTTATCTTTGGCGCCCCCTAGAACCTAAACCGTGGGGTGCAGCGTCATGATTTGAATAACTTTTAATGGCCATGGGGTGTAGATTGGCCTGAGCAAATGTGGTGCCGGTGGAACGAAAGCCTTCGGAGGAGTTAGCGAAATTCCAATGTGTGCGGATCGGCAAAAAATGCGGAATAACCCTTTAACCGTACATTTGACAGATACGCGCGCATTGACTTTTTCGTAGAGCTTATTGAGATACATGTGTGTGTCAATTTTTGTGTCATTTTGCCGAAGCGTACAGGTGTTACACTCAACAATGTGTATTTTCACCTTAGGGGACAAGAAAAAATGGACTTTTTTTCTCCTGCCATGGGGGGGCGCTCTTTTGGGGAGTAAAAATTCCTTCACAAATGTGTTGATGGCTGGACATTGCATCATCCTAGAAAACTTGGAGGCCAGTGAGGGCAAAAATAAAAAGTTATAAGACTTTTAAATATGTGGATCTTAGGGTTATCTTTGGCGCCCCCTAGAACCTAAACCGTGGGGTGCAGCGTCATGATTTGAATAACTTTTAATGGCCATGGGGTGTAGATTGGCCTGAGCAAATGTGGTGCCGGTGGAACGAAAGCCTTCGGAGGAGTTAGCGAAATTCCAATGTGTGCGGATCGGCAAAAAATGCGAAATAACCCTTTAACCGTACATTTGACAGATACGCCCGCACTGACTTTTTTGTAGATCTTATATAGATACATGTGTGTGTCAATTTTTGTGTCATTTTGACAAAGCGTAAAGGCGTGACAGTCAATAGTGTGAATTTTCACCTTAGGGGGCGCTATGGAGCCATTTTGCATTTTCTTGTTTGGGCGACTTCGGAATATCAAATTTTTCACCAGGCCCGGTCGTCCTGCCAAATTTCATGAGTTTTCGCCAGTGGGAAGTGGGCCATTTTCCAGTTCAAAGGGGAGGAAAAAGAAAAAAGAAAGAAAGAAACAAAGAAAAACCACTTGGGGAATAATAGGGCCTACGCCCGGCTGCTCTGCAGCTGGCTCGGGCCCTAACAAGGGCCCCCAAATTGCTCTTTAGATCTTGGCTGTAATATGTAAACAGAGCGCCCTCAGGTTGCTCTTGTTAGTGTAAATGATGTAATGTATCTACTCTCTGTTTGCTTATTTGATAGATCACATGTAAACAAAGTGCCCGATATTAAAGTAAAGCAAGTAATAGTCTGTAATATGTAAACAAAGTGTCCCCTGAATCTCCCTACATTAACTGAATGTAAACAGAGCGCCCCTCAGGTTGTTGTCTAATAGGATAAAATAAAACAGGGCCCTCCAGTTCATCTATTGGTGAATCAGCTGTAAACAAAGTCCCTTAATTTCAGAAAAGCAATGGAAAGTGTCCTTTGTTTACTCTTTTAACAGTTAAAACATAAATAAAGTAGTTAAATGTAAAGAAAGTTCCCTCTGTTTGCTCTTGTTAGTATGAAATGTGAAAATCTGATCAGGGTAGAAAGGAGAAAACCACTTCGATCAGCAAATTTCTAACATGACGACAAAAGCTGAAAATGAAAAATCTTTAAAAGTCAAATTTCAGACGGACTTAACACGAGTGTAAACTGAGACAAAGACTGAGGATGGTATTTGTGGGATTATGTGTGAAGAGAGCTGCATCATTTTTCATTAGTTTTACATTATTTTACAAATTAATCTGCTCATGTGTAAAAGAGGAGGCGTGTTTTTTTGTGTTTTTGTTCCGCTTAAGTCCTCAGCTCGTCACTGAAAGTTGAACTTTGCAGCATCTTTCTGTATTTTCTGATCCGTTTCTATAATTCTGCTCCATCTTTATTAAGTTAACTTTGATGCAGATGAAACCCTACAGATCCTCCATCAGGGACTTAAACAGAAATAAATGAACCAAAGTAAAGCAGAGTTTTGTGGTTTCACTGAGCTGCAGATTAGAGTCTTCACACCGAGAACAAACAGAACAGCTGTCTTTAAATCTGCGGTGAAAACACGATTTATGTGTTTAGAAATGCACGAGCGAAACTCACAATGGGAGCCTTTTCACTCCTAAGTTTATTCATAATAAAATAAGAATAACTGTAAAAGTGTTAAAACAACACAATAAAAGTGAAAGAGAGCGGGACAATAAAACAGTAAAGAGTGCGAGGACTGACGGAGGAGCCAAACAAAACGAGACATAAAGAGAGGCAGTTAGCTGAACGCATCATTAAAGAGCGTTTTTATACATTACTGTAAAATTATCATTTATGTGTTTGAACGTCCCCCTGAAACCTCCGCCGCCGCTGCTGCTGCTGCAGACGTCCACAACAGAAACACGATCATCACGGCCTGTTTCAGAGCGCTATAAACAAAGAAAACGTCTGTTTTTCTGAATATAAACTGTGAGTTTGATTCTGAACAAAGAGCCAAACATAAGGAGCTGAAGTCGAACATGTTTAATGATCTGTGGATGGAGCGGACATGTCTGCAGAGAAACACAATAACACACACAAAAAAAAACTGGATCCAAATCAGAGACTCGGATCATTAGTCAGAGGTTTTCCGAGTGAGTTACACATTACAAACAGAGAATCTGAAAATGTAAACACACAACTCTTAAACCTGACAATCTAAAGACTCACATGGATCTAAGTCTGCAGATAAATGAGTCAGGATGAAGTAAAAACTCTTCTTTTTAATATTTCTGTGAAGATCTTTAGGACCATGTGTGATCTCCTCACTTCTATCGTCTTTTCAAACGAAAGTCTCTTCAGTTTTTTCTCATTTTGGACTTTTAGATGAAAGATTTTGTTTTGTTTGTTGATGTCCTACATTTGTCTCATCCCTTCTTTCTTCTTCTCCGCAGGTTTGGTTTCAGAACAGGAGAGCGAAGTTTCGCAGGAACGAGCGCGCCATGCTGGCCAGCAAAAACGCCTCGCTCCTCAAGTCCTACTCAGGAGACGTGACGGCGGTGGAGCAGCCGATCGTACCGCGTCCTGCGCCGCGCCCAAACGACTACCTGTCCTGGGGGAGTGCTTCCCCCTACAGGTAAAGAGCCCTCGGCTTTTTCACCCTGATACTCAACAAACATGTTCTCTCTGCTTCTGCACTAACATCTAAACCTCTGCAGCTCAGAGAGGAGGGAGAACTGAAGACAGACAAAAACAGACAAAAACACACGAACATGATTTTAATTATATTACAGGAGCTTCAGAGCTGCTTTTGAGTATTTCTCTGAGTACATGACAACACAGAAACTGTTGAAAACACTCACATAAGCGTACTAGAACCAGTAGGGGATGGTAATGTGTAACCAGTATAACCAGTATAACCAGTATAACCAGTCCTCATGCGTATAGAGCGTCTGTTTGATTGATCACCTTTTATAAACAGTCATGATCTTTAAACTGTGAACAGAGAAGTGAATTAAATACCACTGAGAGTGACGCCTGAGCAGAAGTGCTGAAAACTGCAGTTCCTCAAGTGTCCACTAGGGGGTGGTTACGAAAGCATCTCTTTTATTTCTGTAAAAACTGAAAATGTTTTTGACTCGATCGTTTTGAAGGTAATAAGGTTAAAGGTTCGGTAGTTTAGAGTACGGCCTGACAGATATGGATTTTTTGGGGGCGACGCCGATACCGATTATTAGGGGGGAAAAAAATCAGTTTAAATTTTTTTATTAAGTTATAAAAAATATATTAACTGTAGATATCTACAGTATACTATATACTGCTCTTCACGCCGACAGGAAGACCGACTGATCAAACTCGGTCCAGAAAAGCGTTTTCAACCACCTACAGGATAAGTCGGGGAACTTTTCAAATGGAGGAACAAAATACGAGTTTTGGCCGATTACCGATTAGTCTCAAACGGGCTAAAATTTTACGATTTAATCGGATCCTACTTTAGAGGCACAGCTTACTTTCCTGACCAGCAGATCCACTGTACCTGTTAGAGAGAAGGTTATAGGCTCGTCTTGACTCCGCCTCTTTGCCTGTCAGCATTTCTAACATGGCGACTGTTGTGATAGGCCTCCCTTCAGGAACACATGGGTGACTTCTCCAAGATTATATTCATGTATGAAGTCCACTGTTGTCAGTTATATGGTTTAGGGCTGCAGTTGTCTTGTAGGAAAAAAAAAAAGACACTTTGTGAAGATCAGTGTGCGAACGAAGTCTGAAAGGGAGGAAGGAAAGAAAAGAGGAGATAAGGGAGTGAAGACAGGAAGGAAATAAGTCATAAATGAGTAAACAATGACCTGGAAAAAGAGAGAAGGAAGTCATGGTCAGAAAGTTTCAACAGGACTTTAAAAACATGAAAAAAAACTGTGATAACTTTAATGTACAGAGACATAAAATACAAGTAAATACTCAAATACTGCAGTAATACTTGAGTAATACTTCAGACTGAGAGCTGCAGAACTTTCAATCACTGCAAGTGTCTCAGTGTTAAAAGCAAAAGCTGAAACCACAATAACCACATGTTAACACACACACACACACACACTCTCTTGTGCGTGGGCTCTGCTCTGTTATTGTTTCATTTCCTCCTCCTCCTCTACCTGCACATTCTCCTCATTCCTCCTCTGAACGTCTTCATCTCCTCTGATCCACCTGGAGACTCACCGACCTGCTGCAGCTCAACCTAACGCTGCTTTTTCTGTTATTCAATTTAACTTTATTAACACAACAGACAGAAACATGAACAGGAGAGTTTCTGCTTCGTCTTTATTTTCTTTATAACACTCGAACTCGTCCGGGCGCTCGGCTCGTTGGTCGTTGCTGCAGGTCATAAAAACAAAAAAGTAAAGAAAGAAACTGGAAAAAAAAAAATCCTGTTATAATGAGTGACCATAAAACCAAAGCTTTAAAGTATTTACACCTTTTTTCCTGTAGAAAGATATTCAAAGGTTATTTAAAAAAAAAGTGTGCTACTTACTTAAAACAAACAGTAATAGAGAAACTTTTTATCGTTGATTTATGTGTCTCCAAATATTATTTTATCTTTGTTTTCACTTAAATAACTTTATTTATTTATGATTTTTCTTCTTTTCAATACATTATTTATATTTTTATATGATCATTTTTAAGACTTATATAGTCAATGTTTACTTTTGTTTATTTTATTTCTTTCATAGTTTTTACATATTTATTTCAATATAAATAAATAGATTATTATTTTTATTATTAGATTTTTTAAACTTATTTTATTTTATTTGAAAAGTTTTACATAATTATTTTAACATAAATTAATCAATTTTTTAATTTTATTATTATCACATTTTTTAAACTATTATTTTATTTTATTTCATAATTCTTACATAATTATTTTAACATAAATTAAATAATTTTTTTATCTTTATTAGAAGATTTTTTAAATATTATTTTTGTATTTTATCATTTGCACATAATTATTGTAATTATTTTATTTTGTTTATTTAATAAGTTTTTGAATCATCTTTTATTTACCTTTTTAAAATAAATATCACTGTAAATCTTCAGGTCCAGATTGCCACATTACTCTTTAAACCTCCTAACAGGAAGGAAGTGCCAGACTCTGATTTAAAGGAATATTTTGGTTAAAAACTCGACCAAAATCCTGATGAAATAACGTCACTTACTGTAGCTTTAAGTCAAATAGATTTAAAATCAGCAGGTGTCCCTTTAATAAATAAATACAATGTTTGTTTTTCTCCTCCATAAATCAGCGTTTTGTCGTCTCTTTAGAGTCAAACTATCATGTTAGATTTCAGCTCATAACTGCTGCTGATAACAACCACAGACCTCACAATTACAGATGATTGCTTTTTACCTTCCAGCGTCATTATTGGTTGTAGTGAAATGCATCAAAGTGAGAGCAGTTTGATAAACACAACCATCTATTTACATGCAGAAATATTTATTTCTAAACATTAGGAACAGTTTTCATGTGACTAAAAAATGCAGACGCCTCTTTAAGCAAAACAAAAACACAAATGTCACAAAGCGTCTTATGAGGTTTAATTCAAGCGGAGAAATCCAAAATATGATTATTTTAAATATTTCACACCAGAAGTTTGACCTGAAAAGCTTGAAATAATAATAAAAAAATCTATAAATAATTTTTGAAATAAATCTGTGTGAGTTTTTGCAGATTTATAAAAGACATGATGGGGTTTTTTAAAAATCGTTTTTTTTTGAGGGAAAAATCTAGTTTGTAAATTTCTGACCAGAATTAAAACAGAAAAACTCTCTCCCTCGGATGTGAATTTTTTTGCAGGTTTAGCTTTAAATCGTTGAAACTCTCCATCACGCCTGGCTCTGAGTTCCTCCTCCCCATTGTTCGAGCGTTCCCTCTGTCTCTCTGACCTCCCTCCCTCTTTTCCCTGCAGACCTCTCCCCCCCGCACGTCCCTCCGTCCTCTCTCTCTCTCTCCGCACGTATCTAACTCCAAACTAATTGTGTTGAATGAAAACAGCCTTTTCCTCGCCCTCTCTCCCAAAGCTGCGCTCTGTCAGCGCGAGCGGGGGCGGGGCCAGATCCCGTGACCCTCCTGACGAGGTGATAATGTGAAAACAAACCATATTAAATCCACTGTTGACCCCTGTGACCCCTCTGTGCTACACTACACCAGATAATGACGGCTACGCAGAGCGGCCGCGCTCGACTGGGCAACATTTTTTGTGACTCTGGTTACATTGGTCCTGATTTACAGTAATCCTCCGTTATGAAACTCGGGATCAAATGTCCGAGCCTGCGGCCTGCGGCTCAAACTCACTCTGAGGTTCTTCTGGCCGGACGCAGAGCGGCGAGGGGAAATCTTATAAAGAGGAGGAGCAGGAATAATGCTATGTGGAAAAAAAAAGGCGAATGTGGTGCTAACACTTGACTGTATATTATCCTAAAGCTGGTATCCGATGCCGGAGGGGGGGCCAGTGCGGGTGCCACAGAAAATGCTGCCCTCAGAGAACAAGTACGCTTTCACTTTACTACCTTCATGCTGTGCAGCAGAAAACGCAGCGGTACGCTCCTTTAAAGGAGGAGGGTGCTGCTGCGTTTCTGCTCTTTGTGTACATTCATTGTTTTTATAGAGACTGATCTAATTCTGCTTTCTGCTCAAATGTAATGAGGTTTGTCGTCTCTGAAGGTCCCTCAGTGTTTTTGCACAAACTGGAAGGTTCAGCTCTTCTTTTTGTCGAAGCGTCGAACCTGAAACAAGAGAATCCTGGTTTCTAAATGATGCACGATGAAAATAACTCATCACAGGGCGTCACGTCTGAGTTTTTAGTTGCATCTGAAACATAAAAATCCGCCTGCTGCACTCAGATGAAGAACTTTCCAAACAAACTGTTTATCTTTGCTGTTTTATAATAAGCAAATGCTCAAGGAGGACAAACGCGCACAAGTTGGAAGGTGCAGCTCTTCTTTTTGTTTTTGCACTTTTTTCTCCTGCAGAATTTGGTCTTTAATTGTTAATAGTTGCAGGAAAACAAGTAAATCATGGTTTCTAAGTAATGCACGATAAGAAAAACTCATCACAGACTTTTTTTAGTTGCATTTGAAACATAAAAATCCACCTACACTCACATGAAGAGCTGTCCAAACAAACTGTTTGTCCTGTTTTAATAATTATAATTAATTAATTTTATTTATAACACACTTTTACAGGTGCTCTAAGAGGCTTTACAAAAAAACACAATTTAAAATACAGAAAATTTTGAGTAATTAGACCAACAAAGTAAAAGTTTAAAAAAGACAGAATATAAGAAGACGATAATAGAAGAGTTCACGGGTTAAAAGGTGTTTTTAGGAGAGATTTGAGAGTCTGGGGGTCCGACAGTCTCAGGTGGGTTTAGGGAGTGTTTTATGACCGTAAATACACAAGGAGGAAAAACTCGCACAAATTAGAAAAAGAAATAAACAACTTCTAAAATGTCGTCTCTGAGAAAACGTCAAAGAGTGAAAATACAAGCAGCAGATTTTCTCTGTTGAACAAAATAAATTTAAAGTCAAAATATCTTCAGAAAATAGAGGCGGATCTAAATTCATCCTGAGGTTTTTTTTTTTTTTCTGCGTTCAGTTTCAATGCAGAAAAAGTCACACGTTATCCAAAAACTCTGACTAAAGGTACAGTGAGTGACGGTTAAAATCTGATCAGTGAGACTGCAGGACGATTCTTCATCAACAGCAAAAACAGACGAAAAGAAAAGGCATGTCTTTTTTTGTTTTTTTTGAGGCTCTGCAGAATAACTTTGGCATGAACTAAAAACAAAGTCTGCGTGGATCCACGACGTTTCGGTTAGAAAAACAAACAAGTCAATCCATCATGTGCAGAGAGACAGGAGGCCGCTCAGTGTTCACAGTCTTAAAGAGGAGACAACAGGCGCTGGGTGAGAGGAAAACCAGACCAGAGGATCCACAAAACGTCCAAATCAGTGAATGGAGTCTGTTTAATGTGAAAATCTGAAAAGTCTTTGTGCTGAGTGATAATCCAGCTCTGACTGAGAGAGAGAGAGAGAGAGAGAGAGAGAGAGAGAGAGAGAGAGAGAGAGAGAGAGAGAGAGAGAGAGAGAGAGAGAGAGAGAGAGAGAGAGAGAGAGAGAGAGAGAGAGAGAGAGAGAGAGAGAGAGGATCGATCAGATCGACTGTACAGACAGAGAGAGAGAGAGAGAGTCATGTGAGATTCAGGCTCCAGTTTTTCGCTCTTTCCTCAGAAACAGATGTGATCAGGAAACAAGAACAAACCTTTTTTAAATCTCTGAGCATGAAGAGAAAACGTCCAGACGAGCCGAACCATCCGAGGAAAAATTACTGCTTTTAATTTAAGGAGCAAAAAGAAGAAACTGGTGATGAAGATGATCTGGGCTTCATTAGACGACAGTGAGCGCTGTGTTCGAGTTTGAAGATTATATTCTGTCCGCTTCAAACACTGACTCTGTGAAGACCTGAGGTTATTCTGCAGACTTTAAAACATCATCAGCTCATCAGTAAATCTGATGTTCTCTAAATTACACCTGACGATGTGCTGAGGCAGAAACTAGAGCAGGTGAGAGCAGCAAACTTGATGAGGAACCATCACCGCCAATTTCCACCTTCATCCTGATCGTCTCCTAAAAGGTCGTATCCTCCGATCGTAGCTGATCGTAACCATTCAAGTTAACGTGTCAATTTACACCGACTTCTTTGCTGATCGCAAGAGGTCTATTTTTTCCGGAGCATGGCGGATAAATTCAGCACAGATTAACCCGTGCTGGAAAGGAAGTCGGGCACAGACACAAAATAAAACATCCGGCTTCTTTTCAAAATAAAACACTTTCTAGAAGTCTAGAAGTAGATTTCCTCCTCTGGAAGGACACAATCTACTGCTTATATGTCTATGTGTCTGTCTTTATAGAGACAACTCGTTATCGTGAGATTGAACGTGAATCTGCGGGTTCTTGTAAGTTCTCGTGATTCCTGCTGTCTGGAATCCGCCGCAAAATTCGCCTCACGTAGGATCCGGTAGGAATTGGCGTACAGCGAAAGTCGCCGCCTTTCTGGATGGGGTGGAAATCTCGGGTCGGGGGAACCACCATGCAAACTAGGCTACGGTTTTCTATTAATGAAGCTAATTTAGTCTGCAAACACTGTAAAACAAAACAAACGGATTTCTAATGACAAAGTAAAGTTCTGGAAAGTTCCTCATCTTAATCACGTCACATTATACACTCGGCCCTGACTGAAGGAAACTAGCCCGAGCTTGCACACTGGTCTTTTCGTAGTCTCCCATTAAAGGGGTCGGACTGATTGGTTTCTACTCTGACATGTGACTCATATAACCTCATACAAAATAACGCCGTAGGTGTCCTTTAGCCGCTTGACCTGAGCAGGTTTTCCTGATTTAGTCTTTTCATCACCTGATAGTTACGCCCTTTTCTGTCATCGTTTAGTTTTGTCTGTATTGTCTGATTGTTTTGGTTCTGGTTCTGTTTGAGGATCTCTTCCAAATTTAGATGAAACACCTTAAGGGGATCTTTCTAATTCTTCTTACAAAGTCATCGTTGTTAGGTGATACCTCAGAAGTTCCCCCTCCAGATTTGGTCGTGAAACACTCAAAACAAGAGTTGGATTCATTGTGCAAAAACACTGAAGGGTCTGACGGGGATCCCTCTGTTTTTAAACCTGGGCTTTTATTTTGACATGATTTTGGGGTCTAGATGTTTCAGCTACACGATCATGAAGATATCAGTCCTTTTAAAAGTTCTGGTTTCGTCTCTGACAGGCTCAGATCGTTGTTCAAGATGTCTGACAGCATCACAGAAAAGGTCCGATCCTTTTTGAAACCAGAGACTCCTGTTAGATCAGGACAGCTATGAGGCTCCACTGACAAAAACACTGAATCTACTCTGCAGAAATCAGGAGTTGTTGGTCTACTGCAACATTAGATGTTGTAAAAACACTGTGTTGGCCTTTAGATAACTATTACAAACACAGAATTCACACATTTGTTCAGTAAATGCATGAAAACGAGGCAGCGGTCGACCAGCAGCTCCTCTGTCCTGCAGAGTAAAATCAGTGTTTTTTTAAATGGAGTTTGGTGGCTTTAAGGAGAGCGCAGTAACAGCTGTTTGAGGAGTAAAAACGTCATATTAATCTCTCTCGTTAGCTTTTATCTCTGCTGGGATCGTCTCTGTAATGATGTCAGACACTTAAATTAACAGAAACACGAACTTTGAGTCGATGTTTTGAAACCGTCACGGCTGATTCTGCTGCAGCGATCGCCGCCTGTCTGCAGGGCTGCGGTGGATCATCAATCTGAGGAGTTAAAAAACTTGTTTTTGGTGCATGTTTGAGATCTGGACCCTGAAATATGTTAAAGTCAGACCCCAGGATTCCTGATTTGAGACGTGCACGGTCAGGTTTTTGGCTCTGAGCGCCCTCACGTCAGATTTAATGTCAATCCGCTCACATTAGGTGCGCCGCTCTCTTTGTGTCTTTGCATATTTCCACAGCTGCAGCTCAGGCCGAGCTTCAGCTCCCTGTCAGCTTCAGGTGATGTAACCTTTTCCCCTCCCGCCTCCCCCCCACCCTCTCTTTTTTCTCTCTCAGCGCCATGGCAACCTACCCACCCACCTGCTCCAACACCAACACGTCCCCGGGAATGAACATGGCCAACAGCATCGCCAACCTGCGGCTCAAAGCCAAGGAGTACAGCTTGAACCAGGTGCCCACGGTCAACTGAGAGGAGGGGGACGGAGGCGAGGCCTGGGGGGGAGAGGGGGGACCGTCTCTGCGGCCGGACCCCCTGCAGACTGACACCGTCTCTGGATCACGGAGCCTCGCTGGTGTTTCTACACCTTTCTGCAAAAAGTTGGACCCAGAGCGATGTCAGGAGTTTTTTTTCTCCTCCTGATCGTCGCCGAACTCGTCGTTGTACAAACAGACATCGAGGCGGGACGCTGTAGCCGAATCTCTGCGTAGTTTTTCATTCGTCTTTGTGACTGAAATGAATTTTTCAAATTAATTTTGCTTTTCTCACCGGAGACTCGTGTACGGACTACGTGGATTTCCCTTTTTTTGTCCCTTTGGCTCCGGATCAAATGACAGACCAGACTCGGGATCAGCTACACTTTGTTTTTTTTTCTCCCTTTTTAAACCAACAAAAACCCACGAGGACTTCCTTTGACATTTACGCAACTTTTTAAAGATAATTATGTTTTTTTTTCTCCACATTTCTTTCCATGTTATACCACTGACAAGCAAACATTTTCAACGCATTTTGAATTTCATGTAATAGTCCAATATAAAGGAGAGGCTGATGTATCTCTGAATCCAAAAACAGTCGATTTTCTTAATTTCCTATGATATCCTTTATTTGTAACAGAATTAAAACTTGTATATTAATAAAAATGCATTTCAAGCAATGCGATGGCACAGTGTCCAATTCAACAAAGGCGGGAAAAAACACTTTTTAAAGTCCGTTTTTCAGTTTTATGATTATTTCCTTGAGTGAGGCTTCAGAAACGTAAAAAAAAACAAAAGTCTGTTTAGAGTTTGGAGAGTGAAATCATCGCGGCTCTCTCGTGTTCAGCCCATAAAAAGAGAGATTTACAACAGCAGAACAGATCCTCCTTCGCTCAAACCTCAAGCTGTTCCTGCTTTGTGTGTTTTCTTTTTTTTTATCGCTGATTACCCCGAGCTGAAATTTCCATCTTAAAAAAGCGGATATTTATGAGCAGGGAAATCCTCCCCTTAATATGGAGGGCCCCGGGGCCTCCTTTAACTCCGCGGCTGTCACACAAGGTGTTTCTTCTTCTTGGCCCCTCGTAACCTTCGCCGTCAACAAACACATGTCGACACTCGTCCTCGAATGGCGCTCACGGGCCATAAAGAGGGGGTGGGCGGTGTTTAGAGTTTCACTTTTTCAGACAGTGTTTAATAGGTGTGCTGACATGAGCATGTGGCATTTTTTTTTAATCAACTTTCACCCTTTTAACATCAAAAATACCCCAAATCCTGCTGGAACGCCCTTTTTTATTTTAAACCAAACCCCCTTTAAAAAACTTAAACTTTAATTTTGTTTGACATTAGCCAAAATTAAACATGTTTGGACACTTTACTAACAACTTTGTCAATTTAGTCAGTGTATTCTAGTAAATTCAGCTGAAGAAAAGAACAAGTTTTATCAACATGAGAAGAAGTTTAGAGGGAGAAATCTTTGAGCTTCTGCACTTCACGCTGCTTTGTTTTTGTCATGTACCAAACCTGCTTTAAATAATTCAGACTTTACTTTTGTTTGACAGTAACAAACACAAAACATGTTGCGACAGTTTAAAAAAAAAGTTATTTTATATTTTTAAAGTGTCCTGATAAATTCATCTTATAAAAAAAAAGAGTTTTTGGTAGCTGTCCACTGTAGTGACCACTATGAACCAGAGGGTTAAGTCAAAATACAGGCTGTTCTTTGGCATGTGTCGTGACTTATGTTAAGATAAGATAAGAGGAACTTTATTTATCCCTGAAGGGAAATTTATAAGTAAATTGGATATTTCAATTTTGTTAATTTTTTTTTGTCTGGAGTCACTTACACAGCTCACAATAGATACTCAAGACTCGGCTGATTTGTGTCTTTGTTGTAAACCAAACTCCATTCAAAAATCTATGAAGTTTTCTTTGGCTCACACAATAACAAACATTTAATGTGTTTTAAACAAACGCCAAAAATGCATACTATTTTCAGCTAAATTCAGAGTATTGAAGGACTATAAAGACTTTTTTTGCGAAAACTTTACCCGTAAAAGTTACTGTTTGTGTGCCTGCTTTTGAATTTTTAAGTTTTTCTGTTTTTCTGCGAATGTTCGGTGTATTTTGGAGTGCTGTTATATTTATACATATGAAGACACTTTACGACAACTCTGTTTGTTTATAAACGTTTCCATTTTGATTTGACTGCATGAAAATACAAATTTTATCAACATGAAGAGAAGCCCAGAAGTTGCCTTGTAGGGATCCTCAAGTTTTTGCCGATGCACTGCCTTGCGTCTTTGTCATGTACCAAACTCCATTTAAAAAACTCAAACTTTAATCTTATATGACAGTAACAAACATTAATACATACTGTGACACTTTATAAACAACTGACTGAATAATTCTGGTGTGTCTTGGTAAATTCAGCTGTAAAAAATGTGCTGGAAGTTAAACAAGAAAACTTAGATATCCAAATGTAACTTATTTTTACAAGTTAAACTACATACTTTTCTGGCATTTAACTTTGTTCATTATTTATGTATGTATTCTTTCTTCATAGTAAACCAGAGTTTTTATAGTTTATGAGACTAAACCATTTTGACTTCAGAGTAAAGAGGGGATTTACAGGTTCAGACTTCACCTACTCTAAATTTCGGCCTTGCCATGTGCCAAACATCATTCAGAAAATTAACAGTTTTATTTTTCTTTGACACCAGAAAAAAATAAACATGCCCAAGAACTTCCTTTATGGCATATTTAACCTTCATATCTCTGTCTGCTACAGTTGGCTTTACTTAAAATTATGTCTGATAGTTAATGTCTTTATAAGTTTCTGCTCATCCCTTTGCTGTTGTTCATTCTCTAAAATGTGATGCTGTTCTTTTGTTTTGGCTCGCTCTTCAAAACAAACCTTAGACTTAACAGGACTCTTTTAGAAAGATTTACTACTTGTAATCTGAGAATTTGGAGCCCCACATATAAAAATTCTGGGAATCTTTAACCGTCGGCTTCTTTGCCGTATACAAAAGTCCCTTCAAAAAAGCGTAAAGTTTAATGTTGCATTGATATTAACAAGACTATAAATTCTCTAAAACTTTATCTGGAACATATTTTAAATCTTTAAAGTCATCGGCTAAATTCAGCATTAAAAGTTTATCTTCAGTTAATTCAGGAAACTTGCTGCTGCTGCTTCTCAAAGTTGATCTAAATGTTAAATTTTTTTCTCCTCACATTTAGTTATTTTTGGAGTTCTCTCTCTTTAGGCACTTCTAAGACTTGAATGAAGTTTTTCTGCTTTTTTAAGACTTTTTGCTTCGGATTCGAGCGTTTAGAAAAACTTCAGAGGAGGAAATTGTGCTTGTGTCTTTGTCCTGAACCAAACTCCCTTCAAAAATCTCAAAATTTTACTTTGCTTTGACAGAAAAATACTCTACTCATGCTCTAAAACTTTATCTTTAATCTGGATTAAATCCTTCTTGTCTCAGACTGAATTCAGCTTTTAAAAATCAGTTAAAACTTTATTCAGGAAACTTTTTGCTCACTTTTAAAAGTTCAGCCTTTCATCGTTGAGTGCTTCAGATATCTTGCTCTTTATAGATAAAACATTTTCAGGATTTGATAATCTGAGTTTTGTGTTTTTGGCTTTAAGTTTTTATGAAGTTTTAAAAGAAAATCTTTAATTTTTCAGGAGTTTTTCACTCGCTCATTACTTCCCGTTTTGCTGCTCTGAGGCCTTCTTCCTGTAATGGAGCGTGTCTTCCTCTGCAGTTTAGTGATTTTTCAGCTCTCCCTGCAGAAGTCCTCTGGTCGTGTGAGTGGGTCTGAGTGGGTGATGAGGACGAAGTTTTGCGGGTGTGATTTAAAGCTTTCTCCTGACCTGAAAGCCACATTAAAACAGGGATATTTCTCTTTTCTTTGCAGCCGTTTTGTTCTCTGCGCTCGGTTGTTTTTCCTGGTCGCTGATCCCTGACTGTGGTATGTCCAGTGTCAGACCCCGGGCCCCCCTCGGCCCCCTCCCCTCGGCCCCCCTCTCCCCTGCCAGGCGCCCGGTCTCACCTTTCACGGCCAGGACCGGGTCTGACCTGAAGTGATTCCAGATGTGGAGATCTTTTTGACCCCCCCACCCTTCACCTCCTCCCCCCCTAACTCCCCCCTGCCTCCCATCGCCCCCAGGCCCTTACCGGCCACTCCATCAGGGCTGACAGCGTCCCCCTCGGACAGCGTCTCTCCACGCCTGAGCACATGACATGCAAGGCAGCTCCCCCACCTCCCTCTCCTCCTCCTCCTCCTCCCTCGCCCTCACCCACCCACCCCCATCCTCAGCAGCACATCTGGAGCTCATTACAGAGGAGACAGTAAGAGCTAGGGAGGGGCGGGGAGTCTGCGTGCAGAGAGTGTGTGTGTGTGTGTGTGTGTGTGTGTGTGTGTGTGTGTGTGTGTGTGTGCAAGAGAGCGGGAACGAGTTTCTTAACCCTTCTCCCTAAAACATCCACCTCCTCTCTGCACTTTTATCCTTTTCTTTTCTCTCTTCGCACCCCTCCCTCCCTCCTTCTCTCCCTCTCTCTCTCTCTCTCTCTCTCTCTGCATGCAGCGTTCTCTGTCCGTCCGTCCGTCCGTCCGTCCGTCCTTCGGTGCCACATGATCAGAAATACTTTATTAATGAGTGGTTTTGGAGGAGAGAGAAGGAGCCTGAGTGAGCTGGAGAGAAATACTGCACAGCTGTTAACAGTGTGTGGTTCGGGTGAACAACCAAAAGAATGTCCCGAGATGTGGAGTTTCCACGCAAAGCCGAGTTGACTGAGAGGTTGCACTGTTTGTGTGATTAAGTCACCATTATTACACACTCTTCATAAACACACACGCAGGCACCCTCCTCACTAAAGGAAACATAATCAGCTTCAAACTGCCATCCCAAGGTTAACGCCGCCGCCGCTGATGGCCATATGGAGCGACCGCTCTCTCATCGCCAACCTCGGCTTGTTTCTCTCCCCCCTC